ATTTAGCATTAAGCCTACTTCTAAGAGTAGAGTCAATATGAACATATGCTAAACAACCAAACACTCTTAAGAAAGAATAATTTACCTCTTTGCAGCTCCAAACTTCTTCTGGGATCTTGTAATTTAGCGGTACAGAGGGTCCTGTATTGAGCAAGTGGGCTGCAGTAGTAATTGCCTCGGCCCAAAATGTTTGTGGTAATCCAACATGCAATCTCATGCTTCTTGCACGCTCCTATAAGGTTCTATTCATCCTTTTAGCGACACCATTCTGTTGAGGAGTTGTAGGAATGGTCTTTTCCATCTTGATCCCATTATTGGCACAATATTCTTTGAACCCTTGATCAATGTACTCTCCCCCATTATCAGATCACAAGCACTTCACCGTTAGGTTTGTCTCATTTTCAACCATGCTCTCCATTTTTTAAAAGTATCAAAAACATCAGATTTATTTTTCAAAAAATAAACTCATACCTTTCTGCTCACATTATCAATGAACATCATATAGTACTTTAAGCCTCCAAGGGATGACACAGAAGGGGTCCCTACACATCTTTATGAACCAACTCCAACTTCTTTGTCTTTGGTCCCTTTTTACTTGGGAAAAACTTACTTTTCTCTGTTTGCTAAAGATGCAACCTTCACACAAACTGTGATCAATCGACTTCAACTCTGGTAGTTTTCCCTTTGATTGAAGCTCCTTCATTCCTTTCACACTCATATGTCCAAGTCTACAATGCCACAAACTTGAGGTAACATTAGCATCTGCGACTGCAACTAAATCTCTGCAACTAGAAGTCATGTAAAGATTTCCAGTTTTATTTCCACGAGCAACCACCATGGCTTTTTTAGTAACTTTCTTTACACCACCTAGAAAGACACATTATGCTATTCATTGTCAAGTTGCCTAACTGATATTAGATAGCACATCAATTTTGGTGCATACCTTACTTTCTTGATTTTCTACACAGATCTGTTTTTCATCTTCAACCTAACATCACCCATACCTACAATATCCAAATGTTCTCCATCTGCTAGGTATACCTTTCCATGATTTCTAGCCACATAATTTTCTAGAATTTCACGGTGTACAGTGGTATGAAATGAAGCTCTTGAATCTAAAACCTAAGAGTCAATAGAATTATCAACAGATAAAAGTAAATCATCTTGTACCTCCTCAGTTACGACATTGGCAATGTCATTATCTATGTTCTTCTCTTTCTTTGGTGCTTTGCAATTCCTCTGTATGTGGCCTTTGTTCCCACAATTCCAGCACTCAACTTTTTTTCCAAACCTGGACTTGCTTCTTGCATTCCTTGATTTTAATCTTCCTCTACCTTGGTTTAAATTTCTATTGTAGCCCTACCTCTTGTTTCAACATTCAAAGCATTCAATGTTATCTCACCCGAATATTTCTTGCGAACCTCCTTAGTAAGAATTTTGTCTCTAACATCTGTGAGCTTTAATTTCGCATTACTTGTTCAATTAGTAATTGCTGTTCTCATAGGCTCCCAACTATTTGGTAGGGACGCCATAAGAATTAGGGCACAGATGACAGTTGATTAATAATTGTATTAAAATCATTCATATACTCTGTCACGGAAGCACCTTATTTCATCTTAAGATTAAATAATTTTTTCATAAGATGTACGTTATTATTCACAGGAGGCTTCTTATACATATCAAACAAGATCTTCATCAACCTTGTTGTGGTTGCCTCCTTCGCCACGTTACCTGCCACATTCTTGGTCAATATCAACCGAATGACTCTTAATACTTGTCTATCAAGGAGTGCTCAATCTTCATCTGACATCTTTTCGGGTTTTGCTCCTAGGAGAGGTAGATGTAATTTTTTGCCATACAGATGATCTTCCATTTGTATCTTCCAAAACGCATAATCTGTTCCATCAAACTTGTTGATCCTAGGTGCAAATCCTCCATCTTCTCCAACCATCGCTTTCTTCCTTAAACCTTGCTTTGATACCAGTTGTTGGGGGGATTGAATTGGATACTAGCAAATCATAAATCCTTAAAAGCGAAAAATAGTGTGAACAAAGGACACAAAATAACCACACACACAAACACAAGGTTTATAGTGGTTCATTCTCTATATGAGAGTTATGTTCACTTTACCGCTTCAGAATTTCACTATGAAGAAGAAAAAAAGAAATTACAAGAATCTCACAAATTGGTTCACTCACTAAACCCTATTTGGTGGCTCTCACTCTCTAATTATGACTTTGTCTTCTATTCAATTTGTGATATCTAATTCTAGGACTTAACCCTTTTTTATAGGTAATATATAAGACACAATTCTTAATAGGACTCAAATCTCATATCCTAATAGAAATTATATTTTAATTTATAATACAATTATAATCTTATTTCCAGTTGTATTCCTAAAAGAAAATAATTATACTTAAACACAAATTAAGAAAACTCATGTCCTAATCCAACGCTAATTTGAATTAAATTTAGCTCCACAATCTCGACATTTAATTTAGTAAATGGGAAAAGCATTAGCAATTGATAATACCATAAAACATAAAGAACCTCTTCATGATGATCTCTAATGACCCTAATCTACCGTAAAGGACATCTTCATTTACCATCAAGAAACCCTTTCTAAGCAGGAAAATTTGACTGATTAGACTGATCTTTATGATGATAATTAAAAAAAAGGCATGTTCGTTGTATGTGCAGCCATTGATTTGGTGCCAGATACAGTATATTATTATATTGTAGTAGTGTTGACTGATATTGTGTATAATTGGAGGGTCTAAAAGGAGCATCCTTCTGATATGGTGTCAAATTTAAAAGAGATCCTTCGATCATGATGTATGCAGGCATAAACAAAGCAAAGAACATATATATTATATATGTACAATTAAGGTACCGGTATAATATTGTCTGAATTAAGTGAAAGTTTGGTTTATTACTTTGATTAGGAAATAATTCTTAATATCTCTTTGTCACATTTGGTGGTTTCAATTGGAAGCTAAGACATGCAAAGGACAAAGTCTGGGATATGTGAAATATTTTGTTGCCTGCTTGACAAAAAGCACATGATTGTTTGGTTTATAATTAGTTTATCTCTATATCATTAAATAATCCATTTATTAAATAATAAAAAAATTAAAAACGTAAATGGAGTAAACTCACCAATCAAGCACACGAGAATTGTTAGGTATAAACTGATACAAGATACAACCTGCACCTGATAGCTGAATGGTTAAAATTTCTGTAAGAAGCCATTTGTGGTTATAATATATAGTATTCAATATTATTGGTTTGTTTTATTGATTGTTTTGAAGTTCCAGTCCATGCTGGCGCATTGGCCAAATGTAAAATCTGAGTCCGTATTGTATAATGTATTAATGTATAAATTAATAATAGAGTGGAAATGCATAGTCCTTTAGTTTAGGTGGAAATTAATACCGAACTAAATTCAATAAGATCCATACTCTTGTCGGTGTTCATTTTGCAGGCCAGTTTTATGTTTAGTTGGGCTTTACCCAGCGAAGTCAGCCCAATATCAAGTGAGGGCCGACTTAGGCTTATATAAGTTTAATTAATACCAACTAAATGAGGATGAATAATGTCAAAAGCATACACAAAAGTTTCTATATATAATTTCTATGTATAAAATTTGGTAGAAATAATATATCAGATATGATCATTTTTACTTTTATTCTTTAGTGCAGAATTCATTATTGATTATATTTGCATATGAAAATAGGACGGTTATCTAAGTTTATCGAATAATTTTATCTTATATTATATGTTCATTAGAATGCAAACCGTACTAACTAATTAGTTTACAATTATTACTTATTAGCAAGAATAAATGATTTTTTCCCACCCAAATAATGGTCTAATGATGCTCTTTCACTTAAAAATTTTCGAAAAAAAATTTTATTACCCAAATGTTATGTTTCGTTCATAATTTCCGTTAAATATAGTGATATTTATTGTGAAGACGGAAATACTTTTTCCTATTTAACTTAATTTTTTTAATTATTAAAATTAAATTACCAATTTGTCCTTAATTTTTTGTTTTCTTTGTCTCTTTCCTTCTTCCTCTCTTTTCTTCTTTCTTTTTATTTCCTTATCTTCTTCTCTATCCTCTCTCAATTGCACCAGAAATCGTAAATCACCCTATTACCACCATTCGTTGCATCGAAACCTCTTAACAAAAACCTCCAATAGCCTCAACCCTGGTTGCCCGCCATGTTGAACCCTTCTATTAGAGTTTTGCAATTTTTGAGAAATTGAGTTTGATTGGAGTTTGTTTTCAAAGTTTTTAAAAGGAGATTGAATGTGTGTTTGATTCGAGGTTGATTGTGTTTGTTATTAAAGTTTTGTGTTGATTTTATGAGATTGTTTGAATTCTGAGTGTGGGAGTTTGAAGCTTTGAAGTTGTTGGCACTCCATTGAAGAAATTCCCAAGTCACCTTAAACTATAAGCCATAAATTCATAGTCAGAAGAAGACTAACTAACACAGGTTATGAAACACTTGTATTTACACTTACACTATTTTTTTATACTATTTTATAAACATCATGATATGATATATGCTTTAATCATATAAATTCTATTATAATATTAAAAATTTAAAATAATTAAAAATTTGTATGGTTGTGATATATATCATATTACGATGTAATTAAAATTGTGTAAGTGTAACATTACTTTTTATATTATAGGTAATAAAATTATTTTTGAAATTTTTTTATGAAAAAATATCATTACCCTCGTTATTTGGGTGGAAGGAAGTCGTTTGCCTCTTATTAGCAATTGTACTGTGATTGGATTTGCGACGATGGTTGAGTAACGTAATAGTGGAAATATTTGGAAGAAAAACATTGGAGCATTTACATTTGTTGGGTGAGAAAGTAGAGAGCGTCCTTGCCACTGCATTGACAGCGCGTGGGAAAATAACACATCCCAATGTTAAATATGGACTATAAGGGGGTCCAAACTCATTTCACCTAAAGTCGGTTCAACCGAAGTAATTAAAACTCTGTCGAGTTTCTCCTCTTCGTTCCTATTTCTGTTTTTATTATTTTTTGTTCCAAAAAATAGCATCTCAAAACAACGACACTCCAAAAACAATCGCATTTTTTTCTCTTTAAAGGTAAATCCTCTTCTTAATTATCTTTAATTCACTATTAATTATAATCTCGCGCGAATTCTCCCCTTAATTTTTTTTTTTTTTCACAGTTCTTCTTTCTGATTGAGTAACGACGTCTTGTCGATTCTGTTATGGCGATGGCAAATGCATCTGATGAAACCAGAAAAATATGCAGTCACTGGTAATCATATGACTTTGATAGCCTATAAATTATGTGATAACTCGTGATAGCTTATGAATTTGGGAGTTTCTCTATTTTCCTTTTCTTGATCGTGGTTATTTGTTTGTGATTTTTTTTTTTTTTAAATTTTAACATCTAATTTGTTTTCAATATTTAATTGTTTTCGAGAATTTTTTCTTTTTAATCTATGATTCAGCTCAAGTTTGATATCTATGGAGTGAGTGCTAATAATCCAAAGTCAACTCAATTAACCTTGACCTAACTAGTTTCTTAGCTTCTTAAACTTCATTTTCTTGGCCTTAATCGGACCTTTTATTTCGTTAGATTTCATGTTTTGGATTCATTACTGGAGGATTATTTTATGTTGCATATGATCTTTGCTTTTTTTATTGTTGATAAGAATTGATGTGTTCATAATTTTACGCAATTAATATGGTAAATACGTTTTATGAATATCATGTTTGTTATGCCCCATCTTTTGCACTAACGCTGATTACAAGGCATGGTTGCTAGATTTGACTCGTTTGTGGCTTTTACAGCATTTCGAGCCTTTGCTAGTGTTTTCTATAATCCTTTGTGGATATATGTTTCTGTTAGTGCAAATAGGGTGCAACGAGACTTGGGGTGACGGTTGATGGTGTTCTTTCAAGATTTTCTTATTTCTTTTTTACCAAAAGGAGGAAGCATGTGAAATTTGATATTGAATGCAATATACAGTTATGTTTTTTATCTGAATTCATAATTGCTTGAGTTCATATTTTTGTCATTTGTGACTATCATGTCAAATATCATGAGCATCTTAGTTCTTCGAATCTCAGTTGAAATAGATGCTAACATTGATGGTGCGGGTCATGTGTTCAACGTATTTTTGGGATTTCTCATGTATTGTTGTTGCCCATTTTGTAAACGTGTTTTTGTGCTTCCATGATTTCTATATCTTTTTACCATTGGGAGGAACTATGATTGTTTTATAAGTACTACTGATGATATGGATCCTGGTATTATCAATTATGCTGATTTGGTTCAAATGGTTCTTGGTGAATGATTTTTTCTTTTTGTCTTATTAGTGACAGAGCTATCCCATCTTCAAATATTGATTTGCATTTTGTACATTGCTCTCGGAACCTAGAAAGATGTAAAGTATGTGGTGATATGGTTCCAAAAAAGCATGCTGAGGAACATTTCTTAAATACCCATGCTCCGGTATGTGAGTTTTTTCATGGTTAATTTTAAAGAAACTGTTCTAGTATTTATTGAGCTTCTTAAAAAATGTGATATTAGGCATGCTTTCTTGTTGAATTACAGTCACTTAGTGGTTGACATGTATTGATTAATGCTCTGAGATCAATATTTTTGGATTAATATCTAGTGTCGATTGTTGTTATTGAGCTATTTCTGTTTGAGCAGGTGGCCTGTTCTCAATGCAGTGAGACAATGGAACGTGAAATTTTAGCCATGCATAAAGGTGAAAATTGTCCGCAAAGGATTGTCACGTGCGAGTTCTGTGAGTTTCCGCTGCCTGCTATTGATCTTGCTGAGCATCAGGTAGTAATTTTCGTTGATTTTAAAAGTGAAAAGGTGGTATCCATACTATACCTTGGTGGTAACTTGGATGTAATTCTGTCTTGCTTTGTGATTGTAGGAAGTTTGTGGGAATCGCACAGAACTTTGTCATCTGTGTAACCGATACATTAGATTACGAGAAAGATACAACCATGAAATCAGGTGCACAGGTGTCCCAGAAAATGTTGTCGGACCTCCCAGGTACATGTGCTATCCTTTATTTATAAAGTATTTGAATAAAACTAGTTACATTTCATGACTTAGAACTGACCAACAAATTTTCTTTATCATTTAGCTTATTGTTAATGATTAATGTGTAGTCTGTGGCTTTTATTAAATCAGTGTATTAGTTTTGATAAGTTCTATGAGTTGTGAATTTCCTGTTTTGTCAGAAATATGTCTTTGAGTTCAATGTAAAATGAAATTGTAAATTGAATCTGTTGATCTGGATGTTGATACTTCTATATGGATACTTTTTAACAATAAACAAATTATAATTTGGTTTCATTGCCAAGAACTATGTTTTGTCTTACTAGTATGAATTGATTTTGGAAGTTTTGTTTTTTAATATCCTTAATTTTGCTTAGACTTGAAGAAAACAATTTATTTGTGATGGGGGTATTCCAACTTGTGATATGTAATTTCACTGTTTAAATTTTTTCTGAAGGGATGTGAGGGCACCTGAGAGAGACCAAGGTCCTCAAAGGAGGCCGCCGAATGACTTTTCACGGAAACGACTCCTACTTACCATTGCAATCACAGGCATTGCTGTTCTATTAGGATCTCTTTTTTTCCAGAGAAAGACAGAGAGCAGTCAAGTGCATTAGCAGAGTAGAGGATACACATTGGGAGTATGTAAATCAGCTTCAAAGCAATGGATTCTAATTATCTGTATTGAAATATGTCATAGAGCACACTTCTATTACTGTATCAAACTCATTGGGATTGTTATAATATGTTGGAACGGCTATGCAATATTTATTTCCTGCTTCATGACGAGTTGCTCTACGTCAAGTTGTTTTAAAAATGAGCTTCATACATTTTCCCGAAGATCTTATGCATCAGACTTCTTATTCCATCTTTTTATTTGATGGTGGCAAATTTTCAGTATTCAGTTATATGAATAATACTTAATATGCAAGCTGTATGCAGTTGGTGTATCTTTATAGTAGATTGTTTGATTTATTATTAGTTTTCCTCTAATCAAAACATACAATGTGAATTTATAAGAAGAGTTTGAATATTTAGTGTCATTCTTAGCAATAGAGGGCGTGGAGTTAGAATGTAAAGGGTCAACTTTGCTTCCTTTATCATCTTCATGTCTTTGGAAATTATGGATGATATGAAGAGCTTTGTCTTCGCTGTGCACGAGTCAAGTGGAAAGCAGCGGCCGTGATTCATTGGTGGTTGTCCTTTGCCACAAAGTTAGTTACGAAGGTTTGCTCAAGAATTTATGGGTAGTTGGGTGGTAGGTTAACTTTTGATCTGAAGGATTTTGTGATTCTCTATATTTCATTTCCTCAAATATCTTCAAATAAAATTTCTACGAGTCAGTGTGCAATCTATATCATATAATCACTCTCGTTTGACCATTTTTTTTTTAATTTATATTAACCTTTCATAGAATTCTTATTAAACAAATAAATAAAAATAGATTAGAAGGATATGGAATTCAAAGGGAATTCCGTAATATTCTCCTAGTTTTACTTGGTAAAATCAAATATGAAATGACGATTTCCCTCTCCTGATCTGCCAATTATTTTAACATATCATAAAAAAGAAAAGATGTGTTTGATAGAGTGTTTAGAATAATATTTTTTAAAATAATAATATTATACTTATAAAAAAATATTTCATAAAAAAATAAGATGATAAAAATTAATGGAAGAGTTAAATAAAAAGTCAAATTTATTATATTTACTTATTTTTTGTCATATCATTTTATAGGAAGATTTTTGTAATTGTAACATTATTTTTTAAAAAAGTTTGAATTTGATTGTTATTACGAAAAATTTGAATTTGAAAATGTGTTTGATAAATTTTCAAAAAATATTTATATTACTTTTTAATTTTTTATATTTACTATTTTAACTAAACACATCCTATAATAAAAAATTTAAAATTAATAAAAACATCCTTACCTATCTATTAAACGCTGACAACTCACTATTACTGTTAAAAAAGGTAAGACTGACAACTCACCATTACTGTTAAAAAAGGTTAGAATTTATCAGAATAATGCAAAGATATGACTGTACGTTGATCTGACATTTTCTGAGGCCATATCTTGGCCGTCAAAGCTTTTCCATTTGTCATATTATATTTTGGATAAAAAAAATAATTAAAAAGAAACTAACTTTAAACAGTTAAACCTTGCCGCCACTACGATAGGAGCCATTCTTATTCATCTCCGCATTGCCGAGACCATCGATACAATCAATCCCTATCTACAAGATCTCGACCACCGCCATAATCTCTTTCTTTTCCACTTCATCCCAGTCTATTGAGACCATATTAGAAGGATCACTTTCTCTTACCCTTCTACTATGACCCTATGAGGAGGATTTTGCAGAGAATCCCTCGTTGTTCCTGTTGTTGTGGCTTTGCCACGTGTAGTAATTATGTGAGTGAAGGTATCTCCCATTCTCTTAAACCCCAAGCAGGCAAGTGAAATTCGCTTCATTTTTTAAATTTTATGTAATTTTACTTTCTCTGTTTGAAAATCACCCATCACAATTTCGATTCAATTGCTTGGTTTCCCTTTTCAAAATAGCTGATTTTTATTTCACGGAAATGGAGTGATTAACATCGATTGAAATTACAATTAATTAGGGTACCAAATTACCAATCACTACTGCGACGTGGCAATCTTTATATCAAACTTCAAATTTAAAGCAAAGAATAAAGGAAGGGATGACGATGAACATTATTTTATTTTACAACTTCATAAAATTCTGTTTATAACTTTTTGTCGTGGTAGTATTTCTTTTTATTTATAATATTTCATAGAACTTCTGAAAATGGATCCAGGAACTGACAGTGGCAAACAAGTTCTGCAAAATAATACATGCCCCTCCATGCCTCGGGTCCGGTTGCATATTCAAGATCGTCATGTAATTGAATTCTGTATTGTTCTTTTTTTTTTTTTTTTTTCCCCTTTCGTTCTTTTCATTGCATATTTTATATGCCTGAATTGGTGTTAAAAAATGAGATCTGAGAGGTTTATTTATGGACAAATTACGGGTTAACTTTGTGTATCATGTGTTGTTTGCATGCAGGTGGTATTGGATAATGGCATACTCCAAGTCACATTATCAAAACCAGGCGGGATTGTTACCGGAATACGATATAATGGCATTGACAATTTGCTTGAATTTCGTAACAAGGAGACTAATAGAGGGTACAGAGTGTTGCAATAACTTAAGTTTCTTTTTTCTATATTAACCTAAAAAATATATATTTATAATTGTTGAAATAAAAAACAGTTAATTGTTCGATGTTCCTAATTTCCTGGACCAAGAGTAACAACAGAGAAGTAGTATATCATTTTAATAGATAGGCATTACTAAACACGGCTCAAGTTTTTGAAAAGGAGTCCACATTACACTACATAAATTAAGAGAAATTCTTGCTAAATTATTGTTCGTCTTTCCTTTCTTATGAAATCTTTGATATAAACAGTTTAAACTCTACTGACATAAAACTTTGCCTCTGATCTTTTTACTTTAACATGCAGTTACTGGGATCTTAATTGGAGTGCACCAGGAGGAAAGGGAATATTCGACGTGTAACTACCTCTCAGAAATCACAATTGATTTACTTTTTATTCTTGTGCTACACTGAAGGAAATTATTTAAATTCTAATCGGAAGCAAGAATTGTGTGCTATGCAGGATTGAAGGAACACATTTTAGGGTTGTAGTTGAAAATGAGGAACAAATTGAACTCTCATTCTTAAGGTTTTGGGATTCCTCTCTTGAGGGCAAGTACATTCCCTTAAATATAGATAAAAGGTCCTTGCTCGAACCATACATCTGTATATTGTAATGTAATTTTGATTACACAAATAATGCTGTCGTGTTTACTTACAGGTTCATAATGCTTCGTGGTTCATCGGGGTTTTACTCTTATGCAATTTACGAGCACTTACAGGAATGGCCTGCATTTTGTCTTGATCAAACTCGATTCACTTTCAAGCTCAGAAAAGAGAAGTAAATAGAATTTATATCATCTTCTTTCTATTGTCATATAGATTGCCCTTGATATTCTATAATTGATAGAAAGAATTTTCAAGGGATGGGTGAATGTTAACTATTGATTAAAGTTTCTTTGTTTGGCCAGTTGTTCAATTATCCAAATAAACTGTTTTAGCATTTTAGCCATGGTTACTATGTAACGAATGATGAAAATGGGGTTTTGTGACCGTATCTCCTAGTGGTCAGTTGGCCTGATTGAATTTTCCTAGGTTTGAATGTAATTAACTTTTTGTGAGGAATAAATGTGAATGCATATTTCCTTTCTTGCATTGCTTATAGCACTAAAAGGGACAATTGCTATCTATGAAGAAGCATTACTCACTTAGTGTACTCCAAGTAAAATAGAAAACACCTGTAGGAGCCTAGTGGGTCTGGGATTATTTCTCAACATTGACCTGCAGAAATAAACATTGATGGCTGAAAGTAAAACAATTTAAGCTTTTCTGATTTGTTAAAATGGTTTAACTTGTAGATAAATTGTCGGAATTTTGGGTTGCAGGTTTCGCTATATGGCAATAGCAGATAACAGACAGAGACATATGCCTCTTCCTGAGGATCGAATGACGGGAAAAGGCCAACCCCTGGACTACCCAGAAGCTGTCCTACTTGTTAATCCCATGGATCCTGAGCTCCAAGGAGAGGTATTTTTTCAACTCATTTCCTTCTATATAATTTTGCAGTAGCCCGTTCCTTGAGCATCATCATAAGTTATTTATAACTGATTGTTCAGTGCATCCCTTCCTTTCTCAAGCTGGTGTAGCAAAATATCTACTAAAACATACATATTGGATCTAACTTTTCGGAGAGAGGTTCTGTGCTTTGCTTCCCATGCATAAGTAGGTTTATATGAAGAATTCACTTGTCATTTTAGGATCTCTTGGTTTTCAGGTGGACGACAAGTACCAATATTCATGTGAGAATAAAGATCTCAGGGTTCATGGATGGATATGCTATGCTCCCCCAGTAGGGTTCTGGGTAATTACACCTAGTGATGAGTTCCGATCTGGTGGACCAATCAAACAGAATCTTTCGTCACATGTAGGGCCTACCTCCCTTGCTGTAAGTTACTGATCGTGAACAATAGTCCACAGAGACAATATGCTACATGGGTAGTATGGGCATTAGTAATGTTATCGCAATAGGTATGAAGTAATATGGTTGCAAACTTTAATTGCATTAACTTCATGAAAATGTTGTCATCAGATGTTTCTTAGCAGACACTATGCTGGAAAATACATGGTCACAAGTGTTGGACCCAATGAACCATGGAAGAAAGTCTTTGGTCCAGTTTTTATCTATCTCAATTCTGCTGTTAGTGGAGATGACCCACTTTGGCTGTGGGAGGATGCTAAAATAAAGGTTTTACTTATAACAAATGACATGCTATTTTCATTGTAAAATAGCTTTTAAAAGTGGTTATTGACCTTTGATGGTCAAACTGTTACCGAACTTGATCTGCAGATGATGGGTGAAGTCCGAAGCTGGCCATACAGTTTTCCTGCATCCGAGGATTTTCAGAAGTCAGAACAACGGGGAAGTGTTTGTGGTAGACTACTAGTGCTAGACAGGTAGGCATGCAAGATTCAGCTTGGGTGCCATTAGGAACCTAATAACTATTTGACTAGAAACTTACTAGAGGTGCAAAAGGCCAAACCTTAAAACATGTGAGATATACGATATATACTTTCTAAAACCAGTTCTTAGAGGAATTAGGTGGAAGTTATTTGTATTGATTGCCATGATATATGTGGTTATTGCTGTTGCACTTCCAAGAATGTGAGAAGTACAATTTATAGAAAAAGAGTTGATTTCAGATTTTTTATTTTTATTTTAAGTTTTTGTATTTATAGAATATGTAAGCAGCAAAAAAATTTTGTGAACAGTTTTGTAGATTTACTTTTATCTTAATGAGTTATAACAAATGAATGGTCAACTAATATAAACAAAGTGATTCAACAACAGAAATATTGACATCTGATTATTGTGAATAAAAGTAAAAGAGATCCTTGAAGAGACAACTTATCTCCATCAATTACTTCAAAGTTAGCTTTCCACTTCACATCACAAAATAATAATCCATTTATTGGCTAGCCTGGAAAGAGAAATTCCAACATCAATGTATATGATGAAAATAAAAACTTCTTTCAAGCATGTATGATGAAAACCAAACATTTACCAGCGCAAATTCTCAAGGCAACTGCACTACACAGGGACACAGGCATCACATTGTTTTGACACGCTCTTTATAACAATGCAGTTTATTGAGAGTATTCCAGCTTCTAATCCCATCTACGTATGTTCCTTTATTTCTAGGTGTAGATTAATTTTCCCCAGAAATTTTTCCCGTCTGCTATTAAATGAACATGGCATACTTTTCATATCATCGTGCTTAATTAATAACGATTAAAATTCAGGTGCACATTATCGTCCAATTCGATAGGGCTTTATTTACAAACATACAGCACCCAAATCCTAATTTCAAATGAAGAAACCAAATATGCAATCTATTCACAAGAAGTTAGCAATAAGAATGCATGATACATACAATCCCAAAGGCTCTTATGGTATATCACATCTCATCAATGTCATCAACATCAAGCCAGTCATTGGATTCCTTGCTCTCAGGATTGCGAGCACTTACCTTCTGAGACCCAGCATGTTGATCACCAACAGAATTAATATCCTTAGCTGAATCAGCAGAGCTTCTGCCTAGCTGAACCCAATCCCGTGAATCTTTTGTTGAAGAATCAGAGCCAGATGTTGCTTTCTTATAACTTGGAGGCACCTCTTCATCTTCCTCCTCAAGATCACTGAACGATACATCCTCATCATTTCCAAGATGCATTTTGGAACCACTCACACCAACAACTTCTGAGCTTTCCTCTTTCAACCAATCATCACCATCATCCTCAAACTTCTCATCTGAAACTCCAGCAGAGGAACTAGATAGTGCATGTTGATGTTTGGTGTCCACAGGCACTTCCTTGACAACGGACTTGTCAATAACCTGCATCTCAGTAGTTTGAACTGAGTGCTTCTCTGTTTCAAATTCAGCTGTTGCTACAGAAGGGGCTGCATCAAAGGCAGATGTCTTCAGTGACACTGATTCAGATTTTGAGCCAGTTGGTGCTTCAACAGTTTCACTTAAATAAGCATCACTTCCAGCAATTTTATTTGAATCAGAAGAGCCAATTAAAGAGTGAACTGATTCTGGCTTTGCCTCAGCTCTGTTCTTTAACTCGTGTGCTAACATTGCTCTCGCTTCCACTATCTGCAAGCACAGCCATCTATAAGAAACTGCTTAAAAAAGGTCTAAACAAGGTGACCAAAATTAGAACAAGGAATAAGCTGATAGCCATCTCTGGTTTTCATAAGATATATTTACCATATTATTTTAATGAGCAAAATTTGGAAAGGAACTTTTGCAATCCAGCACCAATGAATTTTATAAAGTCACTCAGTCAAACGGATGAGATGATTTAGTTCCCAACATTATTGTTTAGTTAACTAATAGTTTAAAATCATTTATGCACAAAACCCTTACTGGCAAAGATCATCAGTAATACTCATCAATTTATCTAGTTAAATCATTATTTGCAGGTTGTTAAGTTAATAGGAAAGTGAGGGAATTCAAACAACCATGGGAGGAGATCTTTTCAGAGAAAGAGAAAGTAATTCCTTCAACGCTTAAAATGCATAACAAATTAGTATAACTTTCTTATATGCATGACATTTTGAAGGTAAAAAAATGAAACGTCACTGTTCGTCATTCCGAATCACTTACCCTATTACACTTTTCATGCTTTTTGCTGACATGACATTCGACAACAAATGCGCTTCTAGTGATGTAGGAACCTCCTTCATATGCATCCTCATTTGTTTAACGTGAAACTTCTTTTTCGTTTCATCTTCATACTTAATGGGCTTTGCGCTTCCTATTCTTGTTATTATTAGGCTTATTCTTTTAAACTCAAAATCATGCTCATCCCTCTAATTCCTATCTTTAGGTAAGAAACAAATGCATTTAAAAGTGATTTTATGTAAGAATCACAAATTATTTTTGGCTTGAAGGTTCTATGTGAAAACACTCTATGATGCAATGGTTTCTAGACACCCACTTAACCAATCAAATTTTGCCACAAATTGGCTTGGTGTCACACATGTAGCAAACTAAACGAAATGTTGCCACCTTGTGCCATATGTCTACAAATGGCATGATAGGTAACATGAGTGTATTTGTAAATTTTATTTGGTGGAGATCTAGGAGGAAGTGTTGTAAATAAGATGGTCCATCATGCCATCTTTAGACACATAGCACCAAGTGGCAACATTTCATTTAGTTTGCTATATCCATGACACCAAGCAACTTTATAGCAAAAATTGATTGGTTGAGTGGTCGACTGGAAATCCTATACAAACCCCTCCCCCTTTGCAAATTTTTTGTACCGAAATAAGAGACAATTGAATGAGAAAAAAATAGATCTTAGCGCTTCTATTCTTCATCTATTTTATCTGTTTATTATATTTCATCTATTTTGTTTTAGTCCCTATTAGTTGATATTTATGCAATTATTTTACATTGGATCTCAAACCAAAATAGTTGGCATTCCCAACCCTAAAACTACTTTAAATCACTTTTCTTCCTTACCTAAAGACAAGGACTAGAAGGATGGGAATTATGTACAAGCAAAATTTTAGTCAAAAGGAAAAGGCCTAAGCAGGTGTAATAGCAGGAAAAGTTCAAACCCACAAGTAGAAGTTGAAAGAAAGGAAAGTTCCATGACGTAAAAGTAAGGATGCAATTGAAAGAAGTTCCTGCATCAACAAAAGTGTTCACATGAAGGAGAATGTAGAATGTCATATCAATAAAAGTAGCACGAAAAAGTATGATAGCACAAGTAACTGGGAGGGGGACCATTATTTTCTTATTTTTCGCTCCAAAATGTATATAAGAAAGTTGATCTCACATGTAAGGTGTTCCAATCATTATTAGAAGAACTATTTTCTTAACATAAAAAGATGCCCAAAATTTTCTATGAATTCTCCCTACTTTGCGCTCACATCCCTCATTTTCCTATTAACCAAACAACCTACAAGTCAAAATTTAACCAAAGAATAAATGAAGATTACTAATGATCTTCAGCATCGACCATTCAAGAGAGTAGAAAACAAGAAATCACAGGCCCCTTATCTACTAATATATGTCAAAATCTGTTTGCTTTGGGCATTGATCAATAAGGGTTCTTATTGCCATATGTAATCATAAGAGAATTGATCTAAGTTTCTTGAAATAGGAAAAAAGTGTTTGTATTTTGAGAATGACGAGCAGATGAGCAAACAAGATATTAAGCAAAACAGGGAAAAGAGAGTAGAGAACATGTCAAGAAAAAACACGTTTATCTCTTTGTGTATCAGAATGGTAAATGCAAATAAATCATTATATTAGCACCCTTTGCTGGTAAATGTGGGGATGAGAGGTCAAACGCAGCAGGAACACTACCATAAGAGTAGGTTAGTCAGCAGACTACAAATTATTAGCTCTCATAAATTCATTCCTGCATTTCATGTCTCTTTCAAATAATTCCAAGATGGTTCAATCAATAGTCTTCCAATCACCACAAAACACCTCATCTATGGATTAAAAAAAGGTTTTCCAAAAGTCTCTCCTTCAGTATGTGACATAAAACACAGCACTGTATTATGCATCAATAGAAAACACTTCATCATGCTGTGCATCATTGAGTCCTACAGGAATCAAGCAATTACAGAAAATGAAACTGTTTTTGAACAAAAGTGAACATACTTGGGGAGTTGACAAAAGCTCAGCATCATCTTTATTTAGTCTAGGGTGCAGAAGTACAAAATATATCTTCCAGAAGCAACCCTCACTCATGTGCCCAGGGCAAAGTTCAATCCTGAGAGCAGCTAAACTTGGTGCAAGACGTTCAACAGCCAAAGCATGCTCTTGTTGGGCGTCAGACATGTCAAAATCTGAAGAATCAAATTGATTGTAACGATGCTTGACATTAATTTGATCCATTTAGTTGAGAAATAAATACCACCAAACATCTCAGGTAAATCCGTCTTAACTAATAAAAAGATGTCATGTTTGAGTTGGTCAAATCACTAAGGTTAAATCTGCCTTATCTTAGGGTCAGTACCATTGTTTTAAAAACTGGACCAGAGGGCAAACCGCTCTGATGGTCGGGTCACGATTCAACCGGTCCAACCGATTGGACTGCTGGTTAAACCGATGGTTTGATAGGTTTAAAATCTAACAAAAACACCCCTAATAATTACCATCAGACCCTAAAGGTTTGAAATCTAGCAAACACAACCCTGACCAAATGCAAATCGACGATCGATTGGGAGAGCAGCGACGACACACCAGGGAGGGTAGATTGGATGATGGGGAGGGCGAATCGACAGCTAGCAAGTAGAGGCATCACCGGAAAATGGTAGATCGATGGTAAAGTCACTAGTCGCGATTGCTTTTTTTGGTGAGATGACTGGATCTTCGTGAATGACGGCAAGGGAGCTTGGGAGAAGGTAGATCGGTGGCTGAGGAAGCCTGTCGATGCCAGAGAAGGCCGATCGACGCCGGAAAATGGAAGAAAAATCTCGCGGTGAAGGTGGACAACGAAACGTCACGCAGCGACTGGACTGCTGGAGATGAAGCGTGACAGCGCCGGAGAAAGTCAAAACTCAGAAGGTGGTTTCCAACAGTAAGGAAAGGTGGAAGATCGCCGAAAAAGGGGAGGTCATTGCCGATTTGCATTTGGCCAGAGGGTGTGTTTGCTAGATTTGAAACCTTCAGGGACTGCTGAATAATCAGGGGTGTATTTGTTATATTTTAAACTTCAAATAGTTAAAAAGAGTGAACCGACCCGGAGAAGGCCCAGGTCCTGGTCCAACCAGTTGGACTGGCCGGTCCGGTTCGGTTTTTAAAACAGAGGTTAGTACTCAGTCATTTCCAGCTAAAAGTAAAAGAGATCCTTGAAGAGACAACTTATCTCCATCAATTACTTCAAAGTTAGCTTTCCAATTCACATCACAAAATAATAATCCATTTATTGGCTAGCCTGGAAAGAGAAATTCCAACATCAATGTATATGATGCAAATAAAAACTTCTTTCAAGCATGTATGATGAAAACCAAACATTTACCAGCGCAAATTCTCAAGGCAACTGCACTACACAGGGACACAGGCATCACATTGTTTTGACACGCTCTTTATAACAATGCAGTTTATTGAGAGTATTCCAGCTTCTAATCCCATCTACGTATGTTCCTTTATTTCTAGGTGTAGATTAATTTTCCCCAGAAATTTTTCCCGTCTGCTATTAAATGAACATGGCATACTTTTCATATCATCGTGCTTAATTAATAACGATTAAAATTCAGGTGCACATTATCGTCCAATTCGATAGGGCTTTATTTACAAACATACAGCACCCAAATCCTAATTTCAAATGAAGAAACCAAATATGCAATCTATTCACAAGAAGTTAGCAATAAGAATGCATGATACATACAATCCCAAAGGCTCTTATGGTATATCACATCTCATCAATGTCATCAACATCAAGCCAGTCATTGGATTCCTTGCTCTCAGGATTGCGAGCACTTACCTTCTGAGACCCAGCATGTTGATCACCAACAGAATTAATATCCTTAGCTGAATCAGCAGAGCTTCTGCCTAGCTGAACCCAATCCCGTGAATCTTTTGTTGAAGAATCAGAGCCAGATGTTGCTTTCTTATAACTTGGAGGCACCTCTTCATCTTCCTCCTCAAGATCACTGAACGATACATCCTCATCATTTCCAAGATGCATTTTGGAACCACTCACACCAACAACTTCTGAGCTTTCCTCTTTCAACCAATCATCACCATCATCCTCAAACTTCTCATCTGAAACTCCAGCAGAGGAACTAGATAGTGCATGTTGATGTTTGGTGTCCACAGGCACTTCCTTGACAACGGACTTGTCAATAACCTGCATCTCAGTAGTTTGAACTGAGTGCTTCTCTGTTTCAAATTCAGCTGTTGCTACAGAAGGGGCTGCATCAAAGGCAGATGTCTTCAGTGACACTGATTCAGATTTTGAGCCAGTTGGTGCTTCAACAGTTTCACTTAAATAAGCATCACTTCCAGCAATTTTATTTGAATCAGAAGAGCCAATTAAAGAGTGAACTGATTCTGGCTTTGCCTCAGCTCTGTTCTTTAACTCGTGTGCTAACATTGCTCTCGCTTCCACTATCTGCAAGCACAGCCATCTATAAGAAACTGCTTAAAAAAGGTCTAAACAAGGTGACCAAAATTAGAACAAGGAATAAGCTGATAGCCATCTCTGGTTTTCATAAGATATATTTACCATATTATTTTAATGAGCAAAATTTGGAAAGGAACTTTTGCAATCCAGCACCAATGAATTTTATAAAGTCACTCAGTCAAACGGATGAGATGATTTAGTTCCCAACATTATTGTTTAGTTAACTAATAGTTTAAAATCATTTATGCACAAAACCCTTACTGGCAAAGATCATCAGTAATACTCATCAATTTATCTAGTTAAATCATTATTTGCAGGTTGTTAAGTTAATAGGAAAGTGAGGGAATTCAAACAACCATGGGAGGAGATCTTTTCAGAGAAAGAGAAAGTAATTCCTTCAACGCTTAAAATGCATAACAAATTAGTATAACTTTCTTATATGCATGACATTTTGAAGGTAAAAAAATGAAACGTCACTGTTCGTCATTCCGAATCACTTACCCTATTACACTTTTCATGCTTTTTGCTGACATGACATTCGACAACAAATGCGCTTCTAGTGATGTAGGAACCTCCTTCATATGCATCCTCATTTGTTTAACGTGAAACTTCTTTTTCGTTTCATCTTCATACTTAATGGGCTTTGCGCTTCCTATTCTTGTTATTATTAGGCTTATTCTTTTAAACTCAAAATCATGCTCATCCCTCTAATTCCTATCTTTAGGTAAGAAACAAATGCATTTAAAAGTGATTTTATGTAAGAATCACAAATTATTTTTGGCTTGAAGGTTCTATGTGAAAACACTCTATGATGCAATGGTTTCTAGACACCCACTTAACCAATCAAATTTTGCCACAAATTGGCTTGGTGTCACACATGTAGCAAACTAAACGAAATGTTGCCACCTTGTGCCATATGTCTACAAATGGCATGATAGGTAACATGAGTGTATTTGTAAATTTTATTTGGTGGAGATCTAGGAGGAAGTGTTGTAAATAAGATGGTCCATCATGCCATCTTTAGACACATAGCACCAAGTGGCAACATTTCATTTAGTTTGCTATATCCATGACACCAAGCAACTTTATAGCAAAAATTGATTGGTTGAGTGGTCGACTGGAAATCCTATACAAACCCCTCCCCCTTTGCAAATTTTTTGTACCGAAATAAGAGACAATTGAATGAGAAAAAAATAGATCTTAGCGCTTCTATTCTTCATCTATTTTATCTGTTTATTATATTTCATCTATTTTGTTTTAGTCCCTATTAGTTGATATTTATGCAATTATTTTACATTGGATCTCAAACCAAAATAGTTGGCATTCCCAACCCTAAAACTACTTTAAATCACTTTTCTTCCTTACCTAAAGACAAGGACTAGAAGGATGGGAATTATGTACAAGCAAAATTTTAGTCAAAAGGAAAAGGCCTAAGCAGGTGTAATAGCAGGAAAAGTTCAAACCCACAAGTAGAAGTTGAAAGAAAGGAAAGTTCCATGACGTAAAAGTAAGGATGCAATTGAAAGAAGTTCCTGCATCAACAAAAGTGTTCACATGAAGGAGAATGTAGAATGTCATATCAATAAAAGTAGCACGAAAAAGTATGATAGCACAAGTAACTGGGAGGGGGACCATTATTTTCTTATTTTTCGCTCCAAAATGTATATAAGAAAGTTGATCTCACATGTAAGGTGTTCCAATCATTATTAGAAGAACTATTTTCTTAACATAAAAAGATGCCCAAAATTTTCTATGAATTCTCCCTACTTTGCGCTCACATCCCTCATTTTCCTATTAACCAAACAACCTACAAGTCAAAATTTAACCAAAGAATAAATGAAGATTACTAATGATCTTCAGCATCGACCATTCAAGAGAGTAGAAAACAAGAAATCACAGGCCCCTTATCTACTAATATATGTCAAAATCTGTTTGCTTTGGGCATTGATCAATAAGGGTTCTTATTGCCATATGTAATCATAAGAGAATTGATCTAAGTTTCTTGAAATAGGAAAAAAGTGTTTGTATTTTGAGAATGACGAGCAGATGAGCAAACAAGATATTAAGCAAAACAGGGAAAAGAGAGTAGAGAACATGTCAAGAAAAAACACGTTTATCTCTTTGTGTATCAGAATGGTAAATGCAAATAAATCATTATATTAGCACCCTTTGCTGGTAAATGTGGGGATGAGAGGTCAAACGCAGCAGGAACACTACCATAAGAGTAGGTTAGTCAGCAGACTACAAATTATTAGCTCTCATAAATTCATTCCTGCATTTCATGTCTCTTTCAAATAATTCCAAGATGGTTCAATCAATAGTCTTCCAATCACCACAAAACACCTCATCTATGGATTAAAAAAAGGTTTTCCAAAAGTCTCTCCTTCAGTATGTGACATAAAACACAGCACTGTATTATGCATCAATAGAAAACACTTCATCATGCTGTGCATCATTGAGTCCTACAGGAATCAAGCAATTACAGAAAATGAAACTGTTTTTGAACAAAAGTGAACATACTTGGGGAGTTGACAAAAGCTCAGCATCATCTTTATTTAGTCTAGGGTGCAGAAGTACAAAATATATCTTCCAGAAGCAACCCTCACTCATGTGCCCAGGGCAAAGTTCAATCCTGAGAGCAGCTAAACTTGGTGCAAGACGTTCAACAGCCAAAGCATGCTCTTGTTGGGCGTCAGACATGTCAAAATCTGAAGAACCAAATTGATTATAACGATGCTTGACATTAATTTGATCCATTTAGTTGAGAAATAAATACCACCAAAAAAACAGAGTGCTTCATAGCAAACCCAATCAACCATCCACAGGCAAATATGCATAAAAATATGAATCTGATATAATAGATTTCACAAGGTTCTTCACAAGTACAAGTAGCTTCACAATGGGCAATTTCTCACGAAGTATCGTTTGGGTTAGTTGTTAGGTGTCCGTTTATACGTATTTTTATACTTAGACTATATTATCTAAAGTTAAGGTTCTTCACAAGTACAGATAGCTTCACAATGGGCGATAAGCTGCAAAATTCTTACTTCATTCCATCCAATAAAAAAAACAATTAAATGTTGTGCTTAATTCCATGATTTTTTTTTTTTTTTTAAAGATGGAAAAAAAAATTCTAAATGAACTGATAACGATAAATGAACATACTTTTATTTCAATCCAAACCAATATAGAAATAAAAGTTGAGTTTCCAACTCAAATCAGTATAGTTGTGGTTAAAAAATAAAATGTCAAGTTATCATGATCGAAATATCAAAGAACCTATTAACATCCTCTCAGAGATTAGTAGCCAACGTCATATAATCAAATATTATAATAATGTACATAGCAACAAAACTTGTGTCTCATATCTTCAGTTCCATTCTTTTTAGTCACAAAGCAAAATGCACAAATCATAAACCCTACTACACTTAAAATTAAGGAATTCATATAGGTAGGTGAGCATTCTCATCAATTCTTAACTAAAATAGGAATCTAAAGCCGCTAATCCCTGTCAGGTCACATAATATTAAATGTCAATTTGCAAACAGTACATGTGACTTAATTAAGAAGGAATGGTACCATCAAAATATTCATCATCAGGAGCTGGAAAGTCAAGCCAAGTCTCGGGATGCAGCGCGATGTTTCTAGCAAAAATCAATACTTCTTCAGTCACACCGACGGCTTCAGTCGGTTCCATCTCAGAGGCAAACTGCAGAAAATTGGACGCCATTTTCGAGATCTCCGAAACATTAATGTTGTTCGACAGCTTCGAGATTCCAGTCCTGAATTTGCCGCTAATCTCGGCGAAATCGCTTTTGATCCCCTCAATAACATCCTCATCCGCAACATCAGGATCTGAGAGTTGATCGGACAGCTGGTTTTCAACGGACGGCTGGTTTTGATCGGACGGCTGGCTTTGATCGGACATTTGAGGTTGTTGTTGAGGAGGAGGAGCGAGAAAAGAGGCGACGCCCCATAATTGGCGGGAGAAAGATTTGGTGAGTTCGGTGAGGTCCTCTTTGACTCCGCGTGGGGAGTCGACCGTTGATTGGTTTTGATTTTGATCGGATTGTAAATCTTCTGGATTCGGATCACTGGCGTTTGTGTTGGTGTTAGGTGAGCGATCGTCTTCGTCGTCGTTTTCGAGTTTGAGAGTGTTGGCGATGGATCTCGCTAGCCATGACATTTTTGCTTCTAAGTGAAACTGAGATATGGCAGCACTGCCTCAGCTCAACTTCCAGTTACGGTACTTGGCGGCAGGCAGGAACGGTGTCGTATCTGTTTTACTCTGGGTTGGAGTCACAATCAAGAAAACAAGGGAAGGAGATATAGGATAATATATTTTTAATACTTTCATTACTCTTTTTAGGAAAATGAGTACTGACATTTAAATTTCTGGATAATTTTAATTTAATTAGAGTTCAATTAAATAATATACTTTAATTTAATTTAGAGTTTTAGCTCTTTTTTTCTATTAAAAAATAAATTTAAATAATTATCTCCCTTCCAAAAAAACAGAAGTTAATATAACAAATAATTAAAATATAAAATATAAGCGATTGAAATTCGTAAAATAAAGTAGAAAGAGTTCATTCTAAAAAAATTCAGGAGAGCTTATCCAGATAAAACTAACTTATAATTTAAAGAAAAATGTTTGAGATTACAGCCAAATACTTCCCATATATTTATTAGACTAGATATGATTTCGTGAGTTGTGCGGGTATATTTATTCAATGTTTTTTAAATACATTGTAAACAAATTTATTTTAACAAAATAAACTAATTGGATTAAAAACGTAATAATTGTTAAATTATACAAATTTTAAATTGAATATAAATTGTATATATATACAAAGTTGTGTTAACATAAAATTAATAATTGTATATGTATAATTATTAATATCAATTATAGGTAGATGTCATTAAATCATTCATCCAATTTAAGAAGATCACATAAATATCATATGGTCTAACTATATTTTCAAGATCATCACCTTGTACAATTGACAGGCTATTCGCAAGTGTAAGAAATCGCGTAAGTAATAAAACTAGAATAAATGAGTGTCGAATCCCAAGAAAACTACCTACCAAGTACCAAACTAATATATTTTATTGCTATATGATGAAACGGAATTTTAAGAATGAATTAATAAAAAATAAAATAAACTAAAAAGTAAACAAAAGCAAAATTGTATTAATATTTTGGTAAAAAGATTAATAAGACTAAACCTAGGGCACAGATTTCACATTAATTTAATCATATGCATTAACAATTATGGCTAACCTAATTAAGTTTATTCTAAAGGCTAAGCTCCCTAATATTTCACTAACTTTCTCTCGAACAATTAGCGAATTAACCTTTAAGCAACAACCTAAAATATCTCTAAAGTAGATTTAGAAGCTAAGAGATCATTAAGTTCTATGGAATTTACTAAAGCCTCACAGATCGCGGTAACTTATCTCTAGCGTTCGCTCAATCTATGGTTTTATTACCTTAGACTAATCAAGTTTCATCTCTCGATCTCAACCCAACCCATAAAATCATTCAACTCTCGGGACCTTAAGAATTGAAAGCATTACACACAATAATAAAACTTAGAATTAATGCTCAATTAAAATTAACACTAATAAAATAAATACATATTCATAAATTGGGCTACATCCTTAGCCTTAGAAAAAAATTTAGTTCATAATTTCAATATTAAAAACAATCATTGTATTCAATAACATGAGTTCAAGAAAGAAAATAGAAAAACTTCTCTAATTGGTGAACGAAAACTGCAATTCTGATCTTCAAAATAGTAGCTGCTCTTTTCCTTCTCTAATCTCCCTAAAAACTAATTAAAGACTCTTATTTATAGTGCTAGGGTTTGGAGGTTAATTAGGAAAGAATTAAATGCCTTAAATCATTCATATTCGGACTAGGAAAATAAAATAACCCTAAAAGGCTTGCAACCCATTACTGATGCGGCAAAAATGGTCGCTGCAGTGATCATTCTTTCTGTCCCACGAGTATGTAATCTTCAGAATTTGGTAAAGACATTTCCTTGCTTAACGTGCTTAATGAACAACCCCTCGTTCTCGATAGATTATTGGTGAGATGTTACACTGAGACACCGTTACATGTAGCTTCCATGCTTGGACATGAAGAATTTATACACGAAATCCTGAGACGGAAGCCTGAGCTAGCAAGAGAACCTGATTACAGAAAAGCATCACCACTTCACCTCGCAACAGCAAAAGGGTACCTCGGTATAGTGCAAAAATTGGTACGTGTTCATCCTGAAATTTGCTTTGTTTGTGATGAAGATGGGAGAAACCCTCTGCATATTGCAGCAATGAAGGGTCATGTTAGTGTCTTAAAAGAGTTAGTTAAGGTGAGAGCTGATACAGCTCGAGTCTTAATGGAGCGAAGTGAGACAATTTTACATCTGTGTGTGCAATTCAACCAATTAGAGGCAATGAAGTTGTTGATGGAGACAATGAATGATCACGAGTTTGTGAATTCTAAGGATGACGACGGTCAAACTATCTTACATCTAGTAATGGCTGATAAACAAGTAACGGTATGTTTAAACCCATCATAAGTTAAATATCATTTATAACCTGAAACTACTCAAAAGACACTCGTGATCCCATAAAATATATTTATAAAATAATTAACTCAAATTTCATAATAAAAATATATTTTTCCACAAATAATCAAATTAAATCACTAACAAAACATGTATTTTCAAGCTCTTAGCAACAATTGATATTATTTTTGTAGACATGTCTTTGATATTCGATGTCAGTATTTTGTAATAAATCATGTATGATATTTAATATCACTTGAATATTATCAAGATCAATTATTTTAACTTAAAATTTATATTGACCTCCCGCAATTTCTGTAATTTATATTCATTTTCAAGTTGCGTTGCGCGGGTATGTTTATTATATTTTTTTTACATTATTATGGTTTTTTTGTGTTTTAAATATATATTTTCTATATTGAAATTCATTTTATATTGAATTGATAATTAAAAAATCAATAAATAAAATATCCACAAATTGAACTCAAAGTTTATATCATCATGGTTTTTCTCAAATATGTCACCATTTGACATCTACAACCAAAGTTTAAAACTTTGTTAAGAAAAGCAAAAAAAATCGCAAGATAACCCAGTAGATATTATTGATAAGTCTATAAATCAATTAGAGAAAGATAAACCTTGTTGGAAAATGTGAACTTTTAAGCAAGAAACTTGCAGAGTCAAAGGAAAAAACGGATTTTGATTGTTGAGAAGAGAAAATGAATTATTATTATTATTATTATTATTATTATTATTATTATTATTATGTTAGAAATAAAAAAAATTAAGAATGTTGAGAAGAAAACTCACATAGAAAGCAACAACAACTTCAACATTATAATCTGAAGGTAACTTAATTGAAACATTGAAAAAGCCAAAAAGATAAAAGGTCCTGTGACACAAATCCATTTGTTGCAAATAGAATTGACCACTACCTATAGCAAAAAAAATATTTGATGATAACATCCCAAAAAGGACGATAATTGTAAAACCCACAAATCAAACAACAAAATCAATCCAAAAATTAACAAAAAAAAAATAGAACAAATACAATTAAAACTACATATCAATATTTCTTTTCCTTTGTCATCAATAAAATTGAATTTGTTTTATGTGTGTGATGATAAAATAAATGGTTCGGCAACAGGTATGTAGTTATCCAAATTCATTATATAATATATCAAATTAAATACCTATTTTTCTAGTTTCCAAATATTCAAACCGCTCATCAATTGAATTTTTATTGAGCAAGTATGACAAATTTATTACTGACTATTCAGTGGAAATCGAGAAACAGGGGAACCAAAATGTGTGTGATGATAAAAAGAATGGTTCGATAGTGGGCCTCTAGTTATCCAAATTAAGCGTATAATATATCAAATTAAAGTCTTATCTATCTAGTTTCTAAAGATTCAAACCTCTCATCAATTGGATTTTTATTGAGAAAGTTATGAGCAATTTACTACTGACTGTTCAGTGGAAACCAAAATGTGTGTGATGATAAAAGGAATGGTTTGACAGTAGGGCTACAAATCTCCAAATTAAGTTTATAATATATCAAATTAAAGTCTTGTCTGTTTAGTTTCTAAAGATTCAAATCTCTCATCAATTGGAGTTTTATTGAGCAAATTATGGTTAATTTACTACTGATTGTTCAGTGGAAACTTAAATATGTGTGATGATAAAATGAATGATTTACTAAAGCTACATGGTTCAGCATCAAACATCAGTTGATATTTGTTACATAAATGAAGTTAGTTATATTTAACAACAACCTCTTTTCATGATATATGTATGTAACATAAAAAGATATCAACAAAAAGGGATAGAACAATTACAGTTAAAACTACATATCAATATTTGTTTTCCTTTAAGAATAATAATAGTGGTTTGGCATATTACAAATGGTTTACTAAAGCTATATGGTTCGGCAACAAACATTAGATGATATTTGTGATACAAATAAAATTTGTTATATTCAGCAACAACTTATTTTCGATAGATGTATGTAACATAAAAAAAATATCAACAAAAACAGATAGAACAAATACAATTAAAACTACATGTCAATATTTGTTTTCTTTTGTCATTACTAAAATTGAATTGGTTTTATGTGTGTGATGATAAAATGAACGGTTCGACCACATGTCTATAGTTATCCAAATTCATCGTATAATATATCAAATTAAATCTTTACCTTTCTAGTTTTCAAATATTTAAACCGCTCATAAATTGGATTTTTATTGAGTAAGTTATGGTCAATTTACTACTGATTGTTCAGTGGAAATCGAGAAACAGGGAAAACCGAAATGTGTGTGATGATAAAATGAATGGTTTGGAAGTAGGGCTAAATTTATTATAATATACCAAATTAAAGCCCTATCTGTCTAGTTTCTAAAGATTCAAATCTCTTATCAATTGGAGTTTTATTGAGCAAATTTTGGTAAATTTACGACTGACTGTTTAGTGGAAATCGAAATATATGATGATAAAAGGAATGGTTCTGCAGTGGGGCTACAATTATCCAAATTAAGCGTATAATATACCAAATTAAAGTCTTGTCTTTCTAGCTTCTAAATATTCAAACCTATCATTAATTGGAATTTTATTGACCAAGTTATGGTCAATTTACTACTAACTCTTCAGTGAAAACCGAAATGTGTGTGATGATAAAAGTAATGGTTTGGCAGTGGGGCTATAATTATCTAAATTAAGCGTATAATATATCAAATTAAATACATATATTTCTAGTTTTCAAAGATTCAAACCACTCATCAATTGGATTTTTATTGAGCAAGTTATGACTAATTTACTACTGAATATTCAGTGGAAATCGAGAAACAAGAGAAACCAAAATGTATGTGATGATAAAAGGAATGGTTTGGCAATGAGACTACAGTTATCCAAATTAAGCGTATAATATATCAAATTAAATCACTTTCTATCTAGCTTCTAAAAATTCAATCCGATCATCAATTGGATTTTTATTGAACAAGTTATAGTTAATTTACTACTGATTATTAAGTGGAAACCGAAGTGCGTGTGATAATAAAATAAATGGTTTACTTAACCCAAATTTAATGAATTATCATATTTGGACTGATAAGAAATATTTCAAATAGCACCTATTAATTGAAAAACGGAATCAACCAAGATTAATTCATTTAACATATATACTTGCACATCAGTAGGACATAAACAATTAATCATTCATATAACAAATTAAAATACATGAATGTTTTTACAGAAAACATGTTCAACACAAATGAACTATTTCTAATAATATAGTTATGACACATACTCACAGTTTAGCTGACAATAGGATCATCCTCGATTTGATCTTAGTAAAGTAGATGAACATTTACTTGAAAATAAACATAATAAAATTTAATCGATCTTCATGTTAAGATTGTTAAGGAACAATTATTCATTCGTATAACAACTATTACCTGAAAACGAAATAAACAAAAGTTAATTAATCTTCGTATTAAAATTGTTAAAGAATACACTTACCGTTCAGCAGGACTAACACAATTAATCCTTCAAATAAATTGACCGAACAAAAACAATCATTCAATCAAATAATAACCGTTAAAATAGCTAAGAGATGTACTTACAATTTCATATTAAAATAGTTAGAAGATATACTTACAATTCAAAAGAACGAATCAAAATAACAACTCATTTGACAATGTCAATCGGACATCATGTCTTTATTCCATGCCAATTCATGAATCTTTAACGTGTAAACAACAACAAAAACATAACTAAATAAAAAATCATCGATTAACAAAATTATGAAAAACAGACGTATTATTGACACAAACTAACATGACCTATAAACAATTAACAAAAGACCAGACGGATTATTGACACCAACTAACATATTGCGATAATACACAATTGAATATATGCCCCTTTTATAACCCCTTATTTAGACCTTTCGAATGCCAACACAATTAAATACAAATTGAATACAAAGAAAAGTTTGCAATGTCAATACAATGCACCTATAATTATTAATAACAATCCTAGACATATGTCATTAAACCACAATTATTAATAGCAATCAAATGCATTTGTATACTTGTTATTAATGCACATCCTACACGTCAAAATAGTCGCAATTTTGGAATGTCAATGCAATGCACCTATATTATTATTATTGGAATATCAATGTAGTGCATTAATATCTCATTAAACCAGACATCCAACTTTGGAATACCAATGCAACAATTATTATTGTCTACATCATCACCAATAAAATTCAACAATATGACAATCACAAATCCAATGTGTCATTATGGTTTGACCTTTGGAATGTCAATGCAATACACCTATATAATTAGTATTATTATTAATTATTAATACAATTTTTATTAATTTTTAATTATTAATACAAATCCAACATGTCAAAATTGAGCAATAAATACAAACCCAATGTGTCAAAATGAAGCAATTTGATTGAGCTCATTAAACCACAAATCCTAGTTGTTAATCTAATGTTTCAAAATAGAGCAATTCTAGAATATATTAGCAAGGCTGGCCCAAGGGATAAGCAGGTGAGGCACCTGCCTAGGGCCCCAAAAAATAAGGCCAAAAATGGCCCAAAATTTTATAATTTTTTTAATATATTACAAAAATAAAAATAGTATATAATTTCTTATCTAAACAACCAACACCCCCCCCCCCCCCCCCCCCCCCAAATAAAAAATAAAAGCCAAAAAGCCAAAATTTATTATAAACTTTTGCATATATCTCCACCCAAAGTTTGACGAACTAGCAAGTTTGTACCTTTAGTTTCATATATTCCAATTTGCACCCCTAAATTAATACATTGAATTTCTTTTAACAATAAAATGTTAAAATGGTCATTTACACGTCTCAAATATCACCACATTCAATCCCAAAATTCGCACTCACACAAATCATCTCCACCCCTCTTCCGCCACCGACCGTTTGGAGCTTATTCCGGTAGATTTTCTGACACGACCCGTCTTGACCCTCCTTAT